AAAAAATTATTTGATTTTAAAGTTGGCATGCCACTGTATGCATCAGACCCTCACCACTTGGAAGAGTAAGTATGAACTTTTTAGGAGGATTACAGAGTCTCCTATTCAACAAGTGAAAAGGATGAGCTCTTTTGAAAGTGTAAACCACACAGTTTCATTATGTATAAAATAAAAAGTATAGGACCTCTAAGAGTGTAACAGAAAATGAAACTTGGAATCAAGCTTACGTCATGTTACATATTTGGGTAATTCTCAGAGAACCATAAGACAGCAGAAACAGCTGTTAAGAATTGCTCATTATACTTGCTGTTAGCCAGAGAAAAACAAATCCCGAAGGCTCTTGATCTATTTTGTTAGTTACCCTAAATAATACATTAATTGTTGTACAGACATGTACGGGCCAATATTTAGCCCCCAAATCGATAATTGGCTAGGACCAATTTACTATTTTCAGTGCGAAATGGAGTCAGACTAGGTGAGAGGGCAGAAGGGAGCAGCCTGTGCGTCCGAGGCAGGAAGGTCATTGGAAATTGTTGAACCATGATCAAAGGAGTTCGGTATTTTTGTGTGTGCCGCGTGCAACACATGAGCCTTCCTGCAACTGCAGGGAGCAGTCAGAACTGTTTTACAGTGTTGTCTGTGGGTTTATTTTAAAGCAACAACATTTTCTGAGTTAAATGGAGGAAGGACTATGTTGTGGTTATGACTAGGTCACAGCATGCTCAGTTCAGTTTCCTCTTCCTGAAGTCAAGCAAGTAATTTAATTTCTTGAAAACCAGAAAGAATCATGTTTCCTTTGGCAAAACATGAGATAGACAGTCCTACTAGCTGATCATTAGATTCATACCTCCACGTTCTTGTTCAAGGCTACTGCCACTAAGATCTGCAAAGGTCTCTCAGCCTGCTGAGCCAGCTCCTTCACAGCGCACAAACTCCCAGCTGCTGCCCTCTGTCATGGCTCTTCTATTTACGTAGCCCGGGCACCTGGACCGGTGGGCTTGTAGGCTACATCTGAGCCATGAGTGTCCTGTGGCCTTTTAAGAAAGCCGAGGTCTCTGTTCCAGTCGGTCTGTAAAATGAAAGTATCAACAAGCAGTCCCCACAGACATCAAGTGATCCACCATCTGTGTAAGAGGAAACCTGCTGCTTAAGTCTTTGCAAGATGGATGAGTTACAGCATAGAGCTTTTTAGCTCGGGGTTTTAAATGACCTTTCTAATTTCTGAGGAGAAGGTGGAAGTGCAGCCTGAACTTCAGCCTCCTTTGGACTTCCATCAAAGGTCCTTTCTGTGATGAACCCAGTCCAAATTACCTGAAAAGGTTAACATCCGAGATCAAGAACAGGGCTCCAAAGTCAAAAGGAAGGTTTCATTTGTTTGATGTTCTCTGGCAGCCTTCTGCCTAGCGAGTGGAGATAAGAGGAACAAAAATCTGTGCTTACCTAGAGTGATTTTCCATGTCACCTCCCCGTGGCAAGTGCCTAGCTTGCCTTGCCAAGAGCCAATGCTCATAGCTCACATAACAGCCATCTACAAGCACAGCGACGCTGACCGCAGGTTTTCAATCATTCTTTATCCTAAACTAACCTCATTATTTCTCCTTATCTGCAGGTGTCTAATCTTCACTGTACGGAGGCCCAAAGTCCTCTGAGCATTACTGCTGTGCTGCTGCGCAACGGCAGGCAGGAGGGGAGGAGAACAACCTGCCCCAGCTCTCGCCAGACTCACTGTCAACGCTCCTGCCAAGGCCGACGTGTGTTTCAGTCAAGGAAGCAACCGTGGTTGTTCTCAACGTAACAGTCTGCACCACCAATTAAATAAAAGTAAAATTTATTTGGCATAGGACAGAAAAATAAAGAGAACAAAACCACATACAAAATAAATGTTGAGCAAAAAAATATTCACAGAACTAGATTAATATTTTATAAAAAGCTCAAACTTTAAGCATCTGATAAAAACATGTTACATTCTGCTCAGCCTATGTTTTAAGTTATGTTTCCCTCTCTTTCATAGTCTTGTGTTGCTTTGGAAGCCCAAATTTAGAGGTCTTCCTTTGCATGCATTACTTTACACTGAAGAACCTTTATCACAAACAAACTGTATTTCAAAATGGCAACATACTGAAGGGTTACTCCCTTTTTTAAGACATGCGGTTTCCACTTTTTTCTTTTAGTCTGCCTACCTACCTGCCATGTACTCACTCACTGAGAACATGATACATGTGCCCTGCTTCTGCTGAGTAACTCCAACACTCCCCTTTTTGCCAATGCTCCATGTTTACATTTTAACTGAATGGTCCAGACACTTCCACCTTATAGGCTGCAAGATCCCTGTTTTCTCCCAATGTACATGAAGAACCATTCCACGAACTAGCTACACTTAATGTGTTACCAGATATCTTAGGTAAGAGATTCTCCATATTTTCTGGTGAATACCATTTGAAAGATTAAAGTTCATACAATATATATTATACAGAGTCAATGTACCGCCATAACAGGTTATTTGCACCTGACTGTGAGACAACAATGTTCACACTATTGTGATGTGGTATTACATACATGCACATTTTATATTGTAATTTGTACTCTAGTATTGATAGCAACATTCAGCCACTTGGTTTTTATTTCCTTGAGCAATCTTCTCCTTTCCAGCATCCTGTGGCTGAGGGGCCCTATCTAGGTCTCCTGACATTTGACATTCTGCTGGAAATAATCCCAGTATGATCATTCAACTCTATTCTTTGCTTCCAAGGCAAAAAGTACCCTTTCTGTTTCCATACTTCTGCACAGAAAACTGTTGTGTTACAATATATGTGAAGCACGACAGCAGTTTAGTTCCCTCATCCTCTGCTCCAGCAAAGACCTACTTCTACAAGTGACATGTAAACAGTTGTTGTTGCAAGGAGAAACTACTGTCCAGTTTTTTTAAGTGACAATTTAAGGAACTTCTTTAATAGTTCAGTCTTGCAGAAAAAAAATAAAGTCGTTCTTATGATTCTTTTAGTGTTGGGAAATGCTGGCTTCTAAACAAGAACTTTGCGACCTTATTGAAGTAGTTCATTTACAGAAATACATGCTTCCTGAATCACAAGCTGAGTTTCCTTTAACAACTCTGAACATTAATCACTGTGACCTCTACTCCCAATGGCTGGTGCAGAAAGTCATAACAGACATAACATGTGCTTTTCTTCCAAAAATATTGAGCAGAAATTATTGTCACATGGTACAAAAGTTATTCCCACTTTATTTACTGACTTGAATTAAACAAAAATGAACATCTGTGGCCATTGTCACACAATGCGAGTCTTAGTGATGACATAAAAAGGTAGTTTGAGGTCTGAAGGTTTACAATACAATGCCATTGAAACAAACCCAGTAAATCTTCTGTGCAAGCAGTGAATCAAACTTAGTCCTCTAATAACCTCTGCAACCACACTGAACTCAGCCAGGCTGTATGGACAGCAGCGTGAGACACTGGTTTTGGGAAAGGGTTAAATTTCCAGAGCGATACCAACAACTGATTGTGAGGCCAACCAGTGCCTGCTTACACCTCACCTAAAGACTGATCCAATAGTCTCTCCATACATTGAGCTCAATCTGAAGTTAGCAGACTGAGCACATTGCAACAGCAGGACTTGGCTCGAACGCTGTATAATGCTACTGTCGGCACTATTTACATTCGGACTTGGAAGAGCAACACCTATTCATTTTTCTAGTGAGACAGAAAAGTTGACTAAAAAAGTCATAAGGCACCATTGATTCAATCTGTTTTGTATTCTTCTTTTTAACACTACATAGTGAAATAAATACTTTAATACTGATCTTACTGTAAATAGCTACTGATATATGAAGCAATATATTGAATGATAAAATGCTGCATTGTTCTGGAATATATCTGGGGACTTTTATAGCAAAAGATATAAATAGTAAGTTGTTGTTAGGTGAAAAAAATACCTCTTTCTGCATTGTTAAGCTATTTTACATATATGCCAAACATCCATTCTGAAGAGGTTTCTATAGTACAAAGAAGTGCTAAAACCCAAGCAGCTCAGGTTTCTTGGCTTGTTGACTGAGGGCCTTTTACACAGCACATTTTAAAGTGAGACTGAAGCTGGTTTGCCAAGTCTTTGGTAGTGGTCCAGAATTTCGAGTCAGAAAACCTTGCTCGAAACATCAAATATAGGGTATTTTGAATGATGCAGGGAGTTGGCAGAACAATGTGCAGCATTTTCATTGACTTACTCAAAGTAAAACAGTCATGCTGGAAGCAGGTAAGTTACAAAAAAGGTATAGTTTCTGAAGGTTTGGGGGTTTTTTTTGGCTGCATAGCTATTTGGATATTAATAAGGATTTGGCAGGTCAAGGTACTGAAAATATTGTATTCTTAAATTCAAAATGTTGTTCCTTAGAAAGTTATTAAGTGCTTCAGTTTAAAAACATGAATACAATAATTTATCCTTTAAGTTACTATCCTAAAAATCTTATTTGGACTCCTATTCACATAATAATATCCCAAAGAGACAGGCACTTTAAGTGACATCCATAAAATACATATACAAATTCAGTATTGCGCTAGGTCTGATCCCAAGGTGCACCTGTCACATGGAGGTCCCACTAATATCTGTTTAAGAAACCCTTACAGCCACGATCCTGCAATTAGATGTAGATACATCCCTGCGCCTGCGCATTTAATTGCAGGTTCAAGACCATAAATAGTAACTTAATATAGGTCATTAGATATAAAAATGTAAAAAACAGGTACGTAATCAAATGCTATCACAGCTAACAAGATTTTGTAAACAAACACTGAAAAGGCCAAATTAAATCTGATCTGGCCAAATCCAGCTCTGTCTCATCCCCTTCACTGTGGCTGTCCAGGCTGTCGGGCAGAAAGGGGATCTGCCCCTCCCTGCCGACTGACAGAGCAAAAAGCCCTATGCACAAACACTTCAGTGGGGTCCAGACTCTCTTCGGCTAAATTCCATAGATTTTCAAGGACTGACTTCATTCTAGCCGCAGAGTGTACTTAGGATCATGTCTCCCGTGCTAGAGAAACATTTTCTTAACCTACATGACTAGTTTTTGTTTTGGTTTGGTGTTTGGTGGGGGTTTTTTTTGAGCATGGCTGCTGATACAGGCTTGATATAGGGATCCCAAGGAGTATGTTGAAGAAACAGAAACTGTTGAAGAGACAGGAGAAATTTTTCAGAGCTAACCTTCAGATGCCCAATTAACAAAGAGCTATCATTCAGCAATATTTCAAATCCAGAATTATAATCTTCCTCTAATTTCCAAAGACATTTTATATGCATTTAGATCCATTTGTAAAATGCACTCATACAATGAACTCTTTTCTCATATACAAAATTCAAAAGCCATTAAACATATTAACCAATCGTCACAAGGTTAGAATAGTTTACTCTCTCTTCTATTAATGTAAGCCTTGCAGCTCTCTGCAGAGATTCCTTTCAACAAAGTTTGAAAGGACAGGCTTCATGGTAAACTCAGAAGGGCAAATCTTCCCATTTCTCTTGAACCAGTGCAGACAGCAAATTTTGGAGCTGATGCTCCCACTTGAACGCACAAACCCCAGACCTCCCTCACTACTTCAAAGGGCCTTCACTTACGCACATTTTTTACCTCAGCTGCTCTACCGTAACGCAGGTCAAATACGGTCTCTGAGACTTGTGACCTAAGCCCTGCAAAGATTTTTAAGTCAAAACCCATGATTTAATTGTACCAAAGAAACACCTGGAAAGCAGTCTGTGGAGCACTGGTGTTAGTGATGCTTTACGGAAGGAGCCTGCAACTACAATAATTGCTGCATTTCACCAAGACTACTTTCTGAGGACTCTTCACATGTAGTCTCAGGTAGACGGCATTACAATAATCCAGGACACAGATGACTGTGGGTTGGTCCACATCAGAGTAGGAAAGAATTAGGTGACTAAAAGCGTAACACTATTAAAAAACAAGGAAAGAGGGATAAAAAAGAAGGTGTTTTTAGGCTGCTGAATTCTTCACTTGTGCTTTTCTTTGAAAGACTCTCTGCAGATAAAAGGAAGGCCAGACACAATCCATCCTCGGGGCGGGATGTGCTATCTATTGTTTAAAATAGGATTTGCTTGGCTAAGCTGAAGTGAAAAGGTTTAGGATGAACTCTTGGTCACCATGTAGTAGGTCTGTGGCTTGCAGAAGCAGATGGGCCAAGTTAGGCATGCAAAGAAGGATCCAGGGGACTCTTGGCTACATGGTTTTCTCCAGCAACTGTTTTTTAAACAGAAAATAGATTGTACTTTATCATTCAAATAATACAGCCACTGTACCCAAAGTGAATGAAACAGCTTTGTTCCAGCTCTCATTAAATTCAAAGCCACACCTCCCATGGAGCTCTCAAGAAGACAGGGCTGGACACAGTAAGCATGATGCACGTATGTTATGCATGGTCCACAAAATGCCTTTCATGACAGCCTGCAGTATAAGCAAATAAAATTTATAGCTTTGAGCAACTATAGTTCATAAGCTGCATCTATTACTTCTGTAATAGAGACTGAAGTTTGTTCCAGCTGACAAGCCAAAAGTGGAAACAAAGCAAAACAGACAACTTTCCAATGATGTGGACAGGAGAGCTGACTCGAAGGAAACTGGAAAACAGACATCGCCCAAGGATGGGCCAGAACCCATTTCACCTTGGTATAGGCGGAAGCGGTGGGGCACCTCTTTCTTTTCGGCCAGAGCCACCTAAAAGAGAAAGAAAGTTTTTTGTGTCACTTCTCCTGGTTTCTTTGAAAGTGGGAGTTTACATCTAAGCCATTAATTCAGTAACTGGTGTAGACCTACTCATTTTTTTGCCTAGCCATTTTACTAAAAAAAAATCTTTGTAGAGTTTCTGGTTAGTTTATTAAACAACATCAGAACTTCAAACAGTGTAAAAAAAAGATTTTAACTAATGCTATTCCCAAATGTCTGGAAAGCATATGCATTTTAGTCCTTTGTCCCCTTTTCAAAACACATTGATGGCTCGTTAGCCTTACTATTTTATGTGAACACATACCTTCTCAGTGCTACTTGCAACACATGCAAATTTCAATGAAAGTGGCAAGCTCTAAATACAGTAACATTTCAAAGCTCTTCACATTTTTCCCAATATGAGGATTTTCATTGCAAACTCATGAAAGGAAACATAAAAAATGCATATATTACTTTGCCTTTCTTCATGGAGTAATACGAATGGGATGAAAGCTAACAGGGCAAAGTGAAAGATCAGAGAACAGGAATTTCTGCTCCAAACCAAAACCTCATCATTTGGAAACAGGAGAGAGAGAGAAACATCTGAGTGTACAGATGATTACAGTATAACTATGAGCCACCGATGTCACTGGTTGTGAAAGAAGTAAATTGATCCTTGGGTGTATCAGGCTGAATACCACTAATGAAGATAGGAAACATTTATACTGCTGTAGAAGACACGGTTGAGGCCTGAACTGGAACAGCATGTAACACTGATTGGAAAAGACAAAATCAAACTGAAGTGTATCCAGAAGCAACCCTGATGATCAGAGAACATAGCTTGGAAGAGCATAGTACATCCGGATTTAATCAGCCCAGCAAAACGAAAGCCGAGAGGAGGGTACAACTGTTGTCTTAAAAAATATTAGGGGTTTAACACACCAAGGAGGAAGGGTAACTGAACTCAAGGATGTTAGCACAAGAATGAGTTGTGCATGAATTTAGATGGGAAATGAGGAGGAAGTCCTAGCAGATTTTGTGGTTCTGGCTGCCTGTAGCAGAAGGGTTGACTATATAATGGCAGAGGTGGTCTCTTACAATACATGCTCCAACTTAAAACCCAAATGATTACTCCCTCAAATACAAGTTTAAGAGGGCTTGTGCCTGCAAACCTGCATTCAGCTTTTCCTGTGTGGTGGTGAAGGGTGACCGGGCTGTTAGTCTGAGAAGTTTTGAAACCTCAGCACCCAGTCTCTTCCCCATCCACATTGTTTTTAGGATGATACGCTGAAATTCCAACAGCAGAGGTGGAACAAACTTACCTCTACTTTCATTTCTTGCTAGTTTACTGGGATAACTCCTGTTCACAGGTACATATGGCTCTGGAGGTGGCAAATCAGATATCGGATGAAAAGAAAATCTGCTTTCCCATTCATCTGAAAAAAATCCCATGCAATTTACTTGTTAGTTTTGTGACACAGCTTCAGGAAAGTAAATTGACATTAACATCACGTTTAATACATGTTTTATATTGCAAAACGCTTACATAGCTGAGTATTGAACCAGCATCCTATTGGGAAGTCAGGGAAGAAGATGCTTTAGGTTAGTTTGAGAATGAAAATCCTTATTAACTTTAGCTGATCACTTAGCCAATTTAACGAAAAATCACAGATCAGGAAAACAGCCGTAATTCCACAAAGTAAGTGCTATGTTCCCTTCCATGTATAATAGAACTGCTTTTTCAACATACACATGCATACACACATATATGTGTTACCGGAAATGCATAGTGTCTCCTACTTCAGAACAGTATTTTGTTCCTGGATATAGAATTTTCTGATATTCATACTTCACTGATATACAGAGCTCAAAAGCATCATTAAAAGCACACTGACCTACAAGCAGTGTTTTTTCTTTCTTAATTTTTATATGGGAAAAAGAAAATTTGGGGCCATTATGATAAAATGTATGATGACAGAGAAACCCGTATGTAACTAGTGTCAAAAATGGAAAAATACATCAGTTGAAACTATATCTCTTGAGAGTACAGGGGCCCTATTGATGTACCTACTGAGTCTACAGGATTGCAAAGAATAAAGCAAGCTGATCCGTTCCTTCATTGAAGTAATAAGAAATGTTTACGGAGCTCTGTTCTGCACTGGAATTTGGAGGCCCAAGGAAGAAAGTGTGGACTATCTTAAACTTTGTCATTTCTTCACTTGGTTGCTTAAGGACTTTGCAACCATAACTTTCTTGCAATATTCTTATATTTTATTGCATAATGTAATGAACAGCTGAGTAACTTTTGCCCAGCAGTTGTACATGTGGTTATTCGCTGGGATCCAGTTTTTCTATGTTTACTCCCAATGGTTGCAATTAGAAACCCGTGTGTAAAGGTGCAGGTTCTGAACCCTGCAAATGACTTGTGTAGGAAAAAATGCATCTGTGACCCACCTGCCTTATCTGATGTGTAAAGATACTTCAAAAGCATGAGTTACAGTTTTATTTTCTGCTTGTTTTTAATAACCTTATAAATGTCAGAAATACCAATTTTGGCCTCCCATAATTAGCTGAAAGATTTATCTGTCCTTTGCAAATAGAAAACAACTGAAAAGAAAAGCACGATGAATCTTTAAAACACAGCAATCTTACACCTCACCTTTTCAATAAACACTAGCAAAAAGAGAGATACTTGACATTTTCAGCAGTGTTCTGACAATCTCTTCCCTCATCTGTTTTTCAGCTTTCAGCTTCTGAGTGATCATCTAACTTGTTCTGGCTTCCAAAGAGTCTTAGCGTAGCTATGGTTTGAATTCATACTAGAGTCAGAACGATCCCCTTAGGCCTTTTTTCTGTATTGTAGCAAAGCAAAGCACGGTAAATACCTTTCTTTTTTTCAGGCTATTTTTCAAAGGGTTATTCTGCAGACTGTATGGACGACTTTGCAGTTCTGCTCTACGTATGGCATATTTACTCTGTTCTTACTTGGCAGGGTTAGTTGAGACCCAAATGACACCTCTGTTGGTCGGAAATCAAAGGTCTGCACTAGAAACAAAGCCTCTATCCCAAACCTTTTTTGACGTATTAAGGCCAAAAGCCGCTACACGGTCTCTGTCAAAGGCAAACAACTAAGAGGATGGCTTACCATCACCTGGATCCTGGAAGCCGTTTCTGACAGCTGATGAAGGTGGTGGTGGTGGCGGCGGTGCTGCCGAGCCCGGCCGGTCAGGGGGAAGCGGTGGTCGTGGTCCACCTCTCTGGTTGTCCAGCCCTGCCCGGGAGGGCAGCTGGGGAGCAGCGGGCAAAGCCCGTGAAGTGCTTCCATTCCTGCTTATGGGAGGAGGTGGAGGGAGCGGACCTGGAGCAAGACAAGAGGCAAGCACACAAACACCGTTTGCACCAGGGGTTATTCTGCCGGTGGTAAGCCGCTGCCTGTGTCCCACAGCCTCCTGCTAACAAACTGGAGAGGGTGGGCTGGCTTGGGACCCTCAGCCCTGAGGGGGAATTGCCCTCAGCACCCACTTTCCTGCTCTCCAGGGCTCTCTAGGGAGTTGGTGCTGATTTGAAGAGTAGAGATTGGAGGAGCAGCGTATATCTAAGCATAAATACACCTCAGGGCCCATATTCCTACTTCCCTCAGCTACAGAGGCCTCTGTGGAGTGCTGGTCCCTGAAGCCATTTTTAAACCACTCTAAATTATGTCGGCCACAACGAGCAGAAGTTACAGCTGGAATTCAGGGTACTGTGGAGGTCCAAGACCGTAGCCCACTTCCTTTCCATGTACCATTGCAAGGCAAGAGGACACGTGGCAGAAGAGCTCTGCTACCCTCAGAGGCTCTTTGTCTATCGAAGTGGTCCCCTCTGGGTGTCACAGCCAGGGTCTGTGGTGGTGCACAGGGGAATTCAGCCCAGGACCAGCAGCGTTAAGCAGCATGGCATCAGCTCGCTCATTTATAAACATGTGCGCTGCATGCCAGGTTTTTCGGTAGCTGCTCCCGCTAAACTGGAAACAGACCTCACACATAGACTGGCATTCCTAGCGTCCATGTATCTGAGTAACTGGCGCGGTGACATGACAGGTCAAATATGAAGGCACAGCCCATGTAACACCGGACCAGGATTGCCCTGAGGGAAGGGGAAGGGCGCTTCTCTGAGAGGAGCCAGTCAATAAAGGCAAGCAAGCTGCTGCTGCCAAGGAGAGAGGTACCCATGGTTAGGACATGAGGAGATGAAGCAGAGGGTGTGGAGGGCTATGCCTGTTCAAAGGTCTCACTACCTCTGTTTGGCACAGTTGGGCAACTGACAATTATGTTCATTTTTATGAAATGCTTCCTTGTCCTGATGAAATCTAGCTACAGACATGCATTTAGAAAAAGGGAGCAGCAGATATTGTGTCTCCAGCAACAAGCACTGAAACATGCTTCAAGAAAAATGCTGTGCTTTGTGGGTGTCCTCCCCCCCCCTTTTTTTTTCCCCTTCTTTTTTTTATAAATTACTAAAGTTTGCCTTCAGGGAATGGTTTCTAAGAATGAGAAGCATTTAGCAACTTTCAGAATAGTTTTGCTTGCTCTCTCTCTAAACCTACCTAAACCCCATCATCTGTACTGAACCGCTGCAGAACAGGAGTATTTACATTTATAATTTATTGCTACCATTCCTTCTACTTATTAAGCCCGCAGAAAGGTAGTGCAGGTTTGCTCAAGCCATCTGCCTCAGAAAAGAGCCAACCAGGAAAGCACTGGTGGAAGCAGAGGCCATCACGGAAGAAGCTCTTGGAAGTGTCTCAATAACTGCAGACGCTCTCTGCAGCTTTGATCCACGCTCCCAGTCAAACGTGAAAAGATTTCTCTGATTTATTTACTGCAGGCTGCGCTGGCATTGTGCCATCCTTTGGGCTGGCAACCAGCTTCACAAAGCACTGTTCCGGGGCCAGTATTTTCTGTGGCTGCACAGCTGCTGCAGGTGCTGTGCTATAGGGGATCCAGGCTGGTTCAAGGAGCTGGAAAGCAACACGGATGCCTGTCACCTGCGGGAGCTCCCATGACATTCATCTCTATAGTCTAGGACTGGGCGGGTTTGAGATGATTCCAGATTTTTGTTCCAAAGGATGAAATGAAAGGCAACTCTATGGAGCTTCCCACCGTCGCCTTCTGTGCATCACTCCTCCCTTCCCGATGTTACAGGGCCTGGCTGTTTGCGCCTAAATTCTCTCCCCTCCAAAGGGAAAACCTTCAGGTATTAAGAGAGCTAAGTTATGATGTGCAATTCTTAAAAGTTATGAACAACAGTTGTCGCAGAGGACAAAGTATATTATGAAATAACTCAAAGGAGACAATTCTATTTTCAGCCTTATTTGAAATCTGCATATGGTAAGTAACAACAGTTAGTCACGCTGTAACAACTGCCATTATATTTAACAACTGTTGGCTAGGTCTTTTATTAAAATAATTTGTATTTGGCTGGAAGCGTTCGTGTCTCCCAACACGTAGAAGGTGGGGCTCTGCAAACCTCCATTCATCAGAACGCCACCATTAACTCACGCCAGTTGACGCAGGCAGGCAAACGTTGTCACCTACCAGAAGCTAGATAAAACAGCTTTTTTGCGCCGAAGAAC